GCAAACCTTACCTCAACACAAAATCATGCTTTCATCTACTTCTGTTCATCTGCTAGCGCCTCACCAGTAACTCACACCTCACCGGCTTCCACCATTACCACCAAGTACAACAACGGCTAATGCTAAGCACGCCACCACCGACGCCAGATGCGCCGTCCGTCTCGCACGTCAACAACATATCACCACCAAATCGATCAGTCAACCGTCCACTCTCCCGCCTATTGTTACCGCTCTCCTCACTTTTCACTACCATCACGAACGTGGGTACACTGACTTGCACCCAACGGGCGTACGGACACGCGTAGGGGCGAAGGCCTGAGGACGTCAAAAGCGGCCAGTGAGGTGACGAGGAGAGCAGAACGGCAGGGAACCGCCGGAAGTCAGCAGACAAATCCCCAACACTACCCCCACATCAACCAGCCCACCCACCCACCCACCCACGCATCTGAAACCTACAGCCAGACACTGGCGTGGTGTTAACTCCCAACCCTCCCTCAGCTACGAGTAAACACGAATACAATCTGCAGTGTAGTATTGAAAGTGGCCCTAAACAGGGCCGTTGGAGCGTTCAAACAACATCCGCCACAATCTCACCATCTGCCCACCCATCAGCTACGATGCATCCTAACCGCCAAAGCCATAGAGGGTACGACCCTGGCGTTTAAGAGCATACACCACGTCCATGGCAGTGACGGTCTTGCGCTTCGCGTGCTCAGTGTACGTGACGGCGTCACGGATGACGTTCTCCAGGAAGACCTTGAGCACACCGCGTGTCTCCTCGTAGATGAGCCCAGAGATGCGTTTCACGCCACCTCGGCGTGCCAGACGTCGGATGGCGGGCTTCGTGATGCCCTGGATGTTGTCACGCAACACCTTCCTGTGGCGCTTGGCTCCTCCCTTTCCGAGCCCTTTTCCACCTTTACCGCGACCAGACATTGCCTAACTCGGTCCGTCAAAAGCCCAAGTCACAAAAAACACGAGAAGAAAACAGGAGACAAGGCAGAAACTGCGCTCCGTCAATGAAGAGGGCGCGCCTACACCGATGCTATTTGTACATCTGTGTACAGATGCTGCCCTTGCATCAGCCAATCAACACGTCACTCCAGTTCATTTCAACAATTCATTGTTAGTCCCCAAATCACCGATTTCACGCACACAATTTTTACCACTTTTATCAATTTAAGTCAAGCCGTTATTTTTCGATATTAGTCTTGTTAAAGCATCGCACACATGCGCACTAAAATATATGTATTTATTTAATGTAACATGTGATCATAAATTAAGAAAAATGGTGGCACGAAAAGGAAAAAGGTAGCGAAGAATAGTCACAATTGTAGCAAAAAAATACAAAAAATAATTAAGAAACAAAATGGTGCACAAATAAGGAAATTAGATGGATAAGTAAGGCTATTTACACACCCTGCTTATTTACTATCGCCTTAACTGTCAAAGGGACAAGTCGGAGTATTGGCTTCAGAATGGGTGGGAAGGTGGTTGCGTGAATGAAATTGGCAAAGCAGGAAATGCTTGAATAAGAAGGGTTAAGCACATACGGCACAAACAATGTACTATTCAGCTAAGGTTAACTTAGCTTAGGATGAGTACCATCATTCAGGTAAGTTGCAGTTGTCGGAGTGAAACAAGGGATGAGAAGGAAACTGTTAGAGCCAATAGCAGGCGAGGATAGCGGTGACGAGCCAATGAGATGTGCAAAGTGATTAGACTTCTGCGTAGCCAATAAGAAGTGAGCCTCAGTGTGACGAAAGGCGGCTATCAGAGGGAGGCAGTGAGACACTCGATACTATCACGCTTGAATCGGTTGGCGGGTTGCTTAGCGAAGAGGACAATGAGCGGCAGAGGCAAAGGAGGTAAGTCGCGAGCTAAAGCGAAGACGAGATCGGCCCTGATGAGGGCCACCCCTACCATTACCACAAAGATGATTGTTGACCAGTTGATTTGGGTGGATGTGGATTGACGACTGACTGACGGACCGGCTGAAAATTGCCTGTTGGAAGCCTGCGTTACTGCCTTGGGTGTAGGGGCTGTAGGGATGGCCTTTGGTGCTGTGGTGTCATGCAGAATTAGGAATGAGTGGGTTTGAATGGAGTGCGGTGCTTTCGTTCCGTATCTTGCATGTGCTCGTACGTCTTATCCGCCAAGCGATGGTAGGGTTGGTGGTCTCTCACTGGGCAAGTCGCACTTGTGAGAAGTCGGTTGAGCCAACCCGCTCGAACCATAGCCAGAAGGTGTGAGTTAACTATTTAGCCAAGTAGATGTGAATGGAGTGGGTGTGCAGGCGCGAGCGGAAGAATGTGGAG